TAATTTCACGCTCGATCTCCCCCTGTGATAATTGACCTCTGGGACTGTGTGGAGTGTGTGTTGGGAGTTCAGAGGCCGGTGTAGTATTGGAGGATATCCGTTCAGTCGTATGTCTGTGTTTCCCAAACATATGTGGCTCACACGTGTTGGCTGTGTGTCGGGTTTGAGTTTAAAGCTGCCTCTTCAATGAACTGTGGTCCAGACACTTTCCTGAGGTGGATCTCAGTTCTGGAAACATACAACCCAGCTGCTGTCCAGTGAAGTGTATAAGATGGGATAGATTAAAGAAACTACAAGGGACTGTTTGTCACAGCAGCAATAAACTGAGCAGCAAAAATGCTATGAAATGATCCTCACAGCAAAATATAACTTAATATAACCTGTCTTAATGAGAGGTATTCCTTGTAGCTGAAGTTCTTTTCTCAGTAGACATGCTTTAAGAGAACACAGGGTTATAAACTAATAATCATTAAATGACATCATCCAGACTTTTTGATACGTTGAAGGGTTTCTATTCATGGAGTTAATCATGACCCACCTACACTATAAAATAAAAAGCCTCAGAATGAGTAACAATAACTATTTTAAAACAATGTAAAGTCTATTATATGGCATACTCTATATTTACACACTCATTCTAATTATAGTTTAAAATTAATTTAGATATGAAGTTTCAAAATTGACTTGATGCTTCTGTTTGTTGTGCTGTGAAACTTGCGAGTGTATGAAGCAAACTCTTGGCTAAAGTGACTTGCAATGTTCACTTCAGTGATGGAAGACATTGTTGCCATCTAAGCAACTTTGTTGCCATATAATTTGACTATTTAGACCCCTTTGGCAACTTTTTTTTTATTTCTAAAAGTGACTAGAGTGAAGTCTAGTCTTTGATTGTTGACTTTTAATTTGTGATTTTCTTTTGAATATTGTCATTTTGAAATCTCTATAATATGATGAAAGGATCTATAATTAATTAAAGGGTAACACCGTTTTTTTTTTTTTTTTTTTTTTTTTTACATTGGCCCCTTGATTTGAGGTTATTACATGATGTCCTACTGACCCATATTAGTTTTGTCTCATTTGGATCTGTTCTGAAGATATTCCGTTAGGTTATATTCAGGTAACCTCTTCCTATGGGCAACGACTTGAAGGCACAAACTAAACTGTTCATAATTTATCATTTATGGTACAGCATTCATAACATGTAGGCGAATCACTGTCCCCCAGACATCCACGGTTATTTTTTTTAGATTTCCATTTTTTTTTTTTTTAAAACAAAGCGGCATGTGTATGATGTCATCCACGTGCGCCAGCTACCATTCCTTCATCCTGTCCGCTGAACTGCTGCTAGTTTTACTCACATGCCTGGAAGATGACTAGTGCTACGACCACAGATGATCTCGCTCTCCAGATGGAATTGAACGATTCAGATTACCTACCCGAATGAATAGAAGGGGTAGAGCGTAGCCGCCTGGTGTAATGTACATTAGTTAAATAGAGTTTTTTTTGTTTGTTTTTTTAAAACCAAAAAAACTCCAGTCCGGCTGGATTTATTTTATTTTTAGCTTTATTTTTCAAAGATATAAATATAAAAAATATAACCATGGCTGTCTGGGGGACAGTGATTTGCCTACACGTTATGAATGCTGGCGTACCATAAAGAATAAATTATAAACAGTTTAGTTTGTACCTTCAAGTCGTTGCCTATAGGAAGACGTTACTTGGATATAACCTAACCGAATATCTTCAGAACGGCTGCAAATGACACATAACTCATAAGGGTGAGTAGAACATGATGTAATAACATAAAATCAAGGGCCCAATGTAAAAAAATAAAATAAAATGCGAAATTCCCCTTTAAAAAGAAGAGCAACTGAATAAAAAAAATATTAAAACTTAGCCCACTGATGATTTGTTCTGTTTTCAGAAGAAAGTGAGGGCACCACATGTGGTCCTTGAACGCCCCTTGGAGCCCACAGGCACCGCGTTGGTGACCCCTGCTCTATAGAGAGCAGCAAAAAATATTCCTGCATATTAATCCCTAGAAAACTGTCTGGTAATTCAAGGTTTTCTGTTACATAAGAAACAGCAGCAGGACTAAAATTATATATATTTAGTTTTAAATTAAAATATGAGATGGTTTTATAATTGTTTCAGATTTGAATGCAATTACTGATGCTCTGTAGAAGGAGGGTTGTTATATTTTTGTTGAATGTCTTCACTTTAAGTGTTCCAAATTTTGGGGTTTTCATCCCCTAGTGTTTAGATATCAGACAGCAAGGGTATATTTTTGTTAGTTTGGTTAACGTCTGTTTAATAAAAATAAAATGAAATTTTTTTTCCTGTATTTTCAATAACAAATCTCATCATCACCACTCCTAGAGCAGCTGACGGGTTTAATGAATGAGTGATCAATGAGCGGCTGAGGAAACTGATCCAGTTCTGCTGATGTTCAGAGATGAAAAATAATTTCTCCAAGCTATGGAGCTGTTTAGATTTTAAGTGATGTTCTTATTTTATTAGCTGAAGCTTTTCCAGCAGATGCTCAATAAAAGCAGTGGATGCGTTTGTCCTATTTGCTGTGTCCAAACCTGCGTTTTTGTGTGTGATGAATGGAGGTGATTAAAGACAGAGGGCATGAATGTTTGTTTCTTATTAATCACCTGAAGGGCTGTTGCTCTGTGACCATTTGTGTCAGCCAGACACATCAAAGTCTCGTCAGGACTCATTTGTGTAATGAAGCCCTTCTGTACAAACATTCACTTCCCCTCTTTGGACTCTGCGTTTCGTGATGGTGAGAAGGTAAATTTGTGCTCCCAACGTAACATCTCGTCAAATCTGTGTTAAAGGATTAAAGGAAAAGGAAATGAAGTCTAATGAAAATTGTCTTTTAATGATTAGGAGAAAACAAAACATGTTTCATCACAGACTTTCCCTGCCGGTTCCGAGCTTTACCTCCGTCCGTCCGTCCGTCCGTCCCCCTTTGATCTGCTTGCTTCATTGTGCAGGAATGCAGACGTGGAGGTCGAGACGGAGGCCGCGGCTAATCGCTGAGATTACACACGTCTGTCTGCTCAGACACCAACACATGTTCTGGTTTTTTTGAATTAATGTCTTGTCATGTACTTCCTTATCCGCTGCTGTAATTTTTGTTATTCTACTTTATCATCCTAACTGCACCTGAGCCCAAAGTTCATTAAGGGATGCTCTCTCTATTGGTCTCTTTTTTGCAGATTTTTGTTGGGGTTTTTTTGCAACCAAAATTGCAATTTTACTTTGAAGATGTTTCACTTCAGGGTTTCAATGTTTTCATGACATTTTAAGGCTCATTCGGTTCAGAGTATGTTGACAAAGGACTTTACAGTAGTGTCACAGCTGAATATAAAATTCTTACTTCTACTCTCGTAAAGGGATCTAAACACTAGCTGCAGCGCTCTCTTCCATTCTGTGGGGTGGACAAACCTAATTTAAGAGTATCACAGCCGCCTAAAGCGCCGGAGTGAGAAAATTAGCGTCTTACTCCTGTTAGTTGTAAAATTACCAAAACAGAGTGGCTCTGGGATTTGAAAATTGTGTTATTTTTTTTTTTAAATTGTGGCTATATTGCGAAAACCGTAGTAGTTTTGCACACATAATGAAGGATGAATATATATATATTCATATTTACAGAAATGTAAAAATGGGTTCAGTTTAAATGTTTTACAGCGGTTTATATTTGGTGAACTTTAATTAAACTGTTATTAACTGACTCGACTCCAATCAACACTTTTTCAGCCCGTTTAGGCTGACAAACATTTCCTGTTGGAGACATTAAAAACAAAGTTTTATAAACTCTGGTTCAAACCAATCAATCCAGATCAGCATTTTCCAAAAGATTTATTTTCTGATTACAATTCATCATTTAATCACAGTTGCTTTAAACGTATCAGCAGAATAGGGCTGGGCATTAATTGCATTTGTATTATAATTGCAATTTGAGAAAATCCTATTTCATAATCAGAGATGCTCAATGAATCGTTACATTACATCAACTCAGAGTGAGCTGCGTTACTGTGTTTCTCTTTAATGCAGCAGTAAAGTCCTGCATAGCTGGAAGCTGAACAGAGAGGATTGAAGGCCATGAAAACAATGAAACCCCGGGGCCGTACATGGATATGCCTGTGGTTAAGTCAGAGGAAATAAATGAAATAAAATTGCAATTTGATATTTAAAAAAAAAATTATTGGGGGGGCAAAATCACACAGCACCAGGTCACAGTTTAGTTCAGGCCATTGCAGTGCAGTTCAGTATGATCCAAATATAATTTAGTAATCTTTAAAACAACAAAAAAAGCTCATTGCAAGGAGTTAGAATTCAGTCAAATGAAACGATTGCACAAGATTTAAGGCATATCATCAATATCAATTTGCTAAATCAATTCTTTAATATTCCAACTTAAGTAGATTATTCACTACTGACAAATCTGAGATTAAGACAAATTCTATATTTTTAGTCTGATTAATTTTATCACAGTTTAATATTTTAAACTGATCAGGTTTAGGTAATTGACAATTTTCTGCTACACCCACAGCTCTCTCTTCAATTCATGAGACATATTTCCAGTTCCATTCAAAATGAGCTTACTGCCCTTTAATTCAGTCAAATAATCCATATTAAAATATATATTTTTAAAAGGATATTTAACCCCTTCATTTATAGTTCATTGCGTTCAATATTTTTCAATCATTTATTTTACCTACGGATTTAAATTTATGTAACTTACAGAATTGTCAGATTATTAGATTCTGAGCTATATTTTATATAATGCTTATATTTTGATGAAATATAAGCATTAAAATTCAGTTTAAGGTCGGATCTGCCCAGTTCAAACAGAACAGCTCTCCACTCTTCGGCCACAGATTTGCGTTTGCAGCCGAGGGCTGAACAAAGCCCCTGCATCAGAGCCCTGTCCCACTCTTTGATCAGTGCATAAAACACATCCTCCGTTTCTCTGTCTTCCTCAGGGGAAAGTAGCCCAGACGGCCTGCATGTCGGCCTGCAAGCACATCTCCACCTCCCTGATGCAGCTGCTGCTGGACCCAGAGGTCCGGCAGATCTCCATCGGAGCTCTGCACCAGCTCAACGTCGACCTCAACGAGTGTGAGAGTGAGTGTCCACGCTCGTGGCTTTTCAGGCTTATTGTTGCTCAAACAGGTTACTGGCTAATTAATCGATAAGTTATCCTTTTGCTTTTTCACAGCATAGTTGTTTATTTTTATCTTGATTTGATGTTATAAGGAGTACACCTTTCAAAATTATTATTTCACAAAATAAAAGTAGAATTTAATAAAAATAAAAAATCATTTTTCAAATTTGCCAATGTCAAAATGAATCAAAAACTCCAACCGGTCCTTAATAATCCTGTGAATTTTATATTTAATTTTTAGGTAACATTCATCATAAACGATAAACAGAGCAAATATCTACTTTAACCTGTTCGCTTTGATTCTTTTAAACCAGGAAAGCTCTTATTTTTAAGGTCTTTTTATTTATTTTTTTAAATTCTGCAAAAACATTACAAACAAAATAAATCTTGTGGAAAAAACGCTTCTCTGCTAATGTAATTTAGTAAAACTAGCAGCAAAACATTTGAAATGATATAAAATATTTCTGTCGTCGTGATGGACCTTAATTATTTTGAATCATTTGGTGCCTCGATTAAGTGCTAATTTCTTTTAAGTATTTGTACTTTTTTTGTTTTTTTATTTATCCTGATTTAGTAATTATACAAAATACTATTTATAGATGAAACTTAGCATTACCAAGCCATGTCCCCCAGTTGGAGTTGATGTCATATTATGTTATCTAATGATACGCCAATACATGTACTCTGTGTAATTGTAGAACATAGTTTATGTTCAATCGGTCTTTTAAATTCCTTTTTTTTTTTTATAGCTTGGTCTTTATTTTCATTTTTTTTTTTTATAGAGCCAAGTAGACTAAAAAAGAACAAAAAACAATGAAAACAAACAATGAACAAAAAAGAATGAAAGAACAAATAAAAACAAAACAGAATACATAGATCTGTTTGGATAAATGATTAATCAGTATTAAATTAAAAGATTTTCCATCTATGAATATAAAGAAAGAAAGAAAAGTAAAAAGCTAAATCAATATGTGCTTCAATAATGAAAAATGCACACTCAATATTTTTACATAATTCATATTGGACTACAAACACATTGTTCTTGTTTTGATTTTATTAATTACTGGATTTTTCTCTTTAGGTTTGTCATAAATTTCTCTGCCATCCTTCAGGAGGGCGGGGTTAAACTGTTAGAGATCAGCTGATTGGTTATCGGTTTTATCGCTCCAATTGGATGTTAGTCTTTGTTAGAAGGAGATAGTAATATTTTATTATAGGGTTATTTTTGGTTATTTTTGTAGCCTAATAAACATTTTACAAAATAAATACTTAAATAATTATTTTTAATTCACAATGAATTCAAGTTTGAACTACTTTAAAATTTAATAAAGTAATAAAACTTTTAGTAAAAATGTTTAAAAATAAATAAAAAAAATAATGCTATATTATTTTAATGATTATTACATTTTTAAACTTGCAAGCTTTGAATATGTTTTCAACTAATTATGTTCTTTTTTTTTTTAGTAAACCTTCACTATTTGATATGGAAAAGTAAATTTTCTTACCGTAATAGTAAATCCCAGTTTTAGAATTTTTCAATGTGATGTGAAGATGATTGCAATAATGTTGATGTCTATTGTGTGTATTTTGTACTTCTGCTTTTCCACAATTTTTCTTTGATCTCATGTTTTCTTTTCCTGCATTTTAAATCACAAAGTCAACCAACTAATTTTTGTGGTTATTTCTATTTCACATACCAATCTAACACTGGTCGACTAATGCATCTTTAAAAAGAAAAAATTAAGATTTACTCTAAATCAAAAGAACCTCAAATGCTATGTTTGCTCTTAAGAGCACAGGGGGCGCTGTGGAACAACCAATTAAAGCGTTAGAAGAGCGAATCATCTTCTTAACCCCCACCCGGTCTCTCTGCTCCCTCCTCCTCCTCCCATCTCCCTTATTTGTGAGACTTTTAGGACTCAGACTTTTGGCAGATAAAGGATTTGCAGACTTGAAAGAGTGTGAGGCGTGATTGGCTCGGTCTGTACATGATCAAGGTTCTTAGAGTCACAGAGCGGGTCACACTGTGTGTTTGTGACCTGATGTGAAGTGACATGCGTGCAGAGCTGCAGCGCCGCCGCAGAGTTGCTTCTCTGTGGAAAAGGGGTTAGGAAGTTTGACTGACGATACAGTAGACGGTCACACGAGAAGCGCATTTAAAGAAAGACAGAAGAAAATACACAAGTAATGAGGATTAAAAGAGAAAAATATTTACTACCAAAGACTTGATGAGAAGTTGGGATGTGGAAAAAAAATATTATTGAGCTTATCAAGTGGACAGGGTTAAACTGTAAAGACCTAGACATTGAAAGGAAAAGCAGAGTTTTTCAGAGTTATCACTTAAAGGAAGTTAAGGGTTTAAAACAGTGGGGGGTGTTGAACTGGATAAAAGAGTTTAGGGAAAAAAGGATGGAATGAGAGGTAGGTGTGAACTTAATGAAATAAAAAAAAAGCAGACAAAAGGACAAAAAAGTGAAATAGATGACTGAGAATGGAAATTAAATGTACTTTCACAAAGGAGAGGAAATGAAAAGGCACAAAAAAGGGATTAAAAGTTAAATTAACTGGATTGTGACTGGTTGGAAGAAATGGAGGCATTGCCAAGAGACTGAAAGATGTTAAACCAGGGGGCGAAAAAACAGAATGCAGTGAACCCCCCCTCGTTATAACACCGTTCACCTTTCACGGCCTCACTGCTCCACGGATTGGCATCGTGTTCTGCATTCTGATTGGCTAAACCGTCTCCACGGCTCTTCTCTACCTGGGTAATAATAATGTTAGGTTTAATATTTTCATAAACATGTACGTAAAACAGTTTTGCCATATTTAAGTTTACAAACTTTCTCCAAAACCCATAATGTCGTCAAAATGTTCTGCACCGACAAAAGCACTTGCGGACGGGCCTAATAGGCAGAGGAAGATGCGAACTATCGCAGAAAGGAGGGTAGAAGCTGTGCGGCTGTTGGTCGCCATTACGGAATGAAGGAATCTTTCGTTCGTTCCATAAAGAAGGAGGATATATCATAAGGACGACAGCAGCAATACATTTTGATTAGGATTTAAAAAGAGTTGCAACTGTCCACGATGAGAGGATGGTAAGGATGGAGTCGGTATTAGCTTTGTGAGTAAATGACTGCAAAAAAAAAGAACATTATGCTGGATACGAACATTATCTGCACAAAAGTTAGAACACTGTATCAAATGGGCAGCAACCGGACAGGGAAGAGGAGGAGGATGCAGATACCGGACCATCAACGAGTGCTGTTCACTCCGTACGAAGCGCATTTAATACTAACAAGAACGGCCTCGGACGGCCTCTCCGATCATGCTGGAGCAGAAGCGATCGTGAACATTTATAGTGATCATCGAGGAAGGGGGATATAAGTCTGGACAAGTTTTTAATACAATTGTAAAAACATAAAGGTTACTACTTTACAGATTATGCATTTCTTTTTGGAACGTAACCCCCATAAAAAACAAGGGTTCACTGTAAAGAAAATGTAATTATCAAAAAATTGATACCATTAGAGGAACAAAAATGGTAAATAAAAATAAAAATCCAGTATGAGGTTCGACGGCCATGGAAGGAAACACCTTTAGCAGCCCCAAAAAATTATATCATAACTGCAAACTGTGTGTTTTATGAGTATTTGATTTGATAGACCAACACGGAGAAGTGCAAAAATACCAAATGGCAGCTGCTAATTTTGTTTATACTAATGTCAACCCAACTTTAATTCATTTGTCTTTAGCATTTTCATAAATCTGCAAAGGAGAAGTGTAAAGCAGGGCAAGCTAAAGCCAAATTATTCTAAGCTTTAATTATCAGGAAACTGATCACACCAGCCGCATGTTGAAACATGGTGGTGAGATTATCATGGTGTGGAGATGTTTTCTCCTCAATGAGGAGGATGGAAGACGATCCTAAAGGAAAACCTGTTTGAGACTGCAGTAGAGACAGCTTAAGTAGAGGAGAAACAGGACCATCTTTAGTTTCTGCAGATATGTGAAAGCTAGAAGCTGTTTTCTTCAGCACTTTGGGCGCCGCAGTCGAGCAGATTATTACCAAACTCCATCAACAGCGAAATGTAGAAGAAGATAAGATGAAAATGTGTAAAAGTAGTAAGAGTCATCCGGCGTGTCTTTAAGAGGGTGGTAGCCTCTTTCTTGTGTCCCGGGTGGCAGAAGATGGCAGGCATGTAATGAGCTCTGTAGTGTGAGAGGTTGTCCAGAGGTGACGGAGATTCATCCTCCATCCCTGCTGACGTTGGCTCGCCAAACGGTCGACCCCGGGGAACCCACCCCCCCCTACCCCATTTCCCTAGCTTTCAGAGGTCACACCGTTGTTCAAACACACTCAGGTGAAATCCCTGTCTCACACCCTGTGTTGTTTACCTCCACACATGGCTCTTTCTTTCTCACACACTCATTCTGTTGTTGAGCCAGCGACATGACTCTAACTCCCTTACCCTGCACCCCCCCACCCACCCGCCCCCGGCTGTCGTTCGTCTGCCAATCTGTCCCGATGCATAGCGAATCCTACCAGGTCTTTTATTATTCCCGTTTTCACCCTGTTTTTTTTTTTCTTTTCCCCATCCTCGTCTTCCTCCTCCTCTCTTCCCTCTCTCCGGGGGTGGACTGGTGGGGGGGCGGGTTTGTATTTTCCCACAGGTTTTGCCAGAGCCGGCCCGGTCGCAGGCTTCCAGGGTGACACGTTGCTTCTGGCCTTCAGTGACTTGAGACAAGTAGGTCTTTGTCTGCCTCATGGTCTTCGCTCCTTCGTTTTCTCTTACTCTTCCTCATCGTCTCCTCGCTATCTTTCTTCTGCCTCCTCCTCATCGTCCAGACCCTTTTTTTTCCTTTTTTTTTTTTACCGCTGTACTTGTTTGTTTTTTTTTTTTTTTACATTTAAATTCGTCTTAACTTTTGAAATCTATGCTGTATAATTCTTGCTTTTCTTTGTATTTCTTTTCATTTCTGACTCCAAAGTTTTAAGCCGTTAAAAGTGTCTCTTACAAAACATTAAACTGGGAGGAAGTCAATGTAAAAACTGCAAAATTTTCAAGGCGATGTACCTGATTAGGTGCTCTATAGAAATGCTTACCGTCAACTATTTTCCCTTTAGTTTGGTTTGCATCAAATCATTCATTCAATTTAGCTAAAAAGGTAAAAGCACAGAAAAAAGGGGATGTAGAAAAATGGCTTTTATGAAAATTTCCTGTTTATTTCATGACTTTATTTGGAGTCAAATGCGTATTTAAACACTGTATCGCTTTAACCTGTTTTTATTCCTTCATCCCTTTATCATTTAGTCTTCATAATGGGTATTTATTCATTTTGGCCTTTTTTTCCCCCCAACACTCTTCTCCTTTTTTCCCAATTTATTCACATTTTGAAAGTTTCTGTATCAAGTTGTAGAACTTAATGAACTTTGTATGAGTTTTGCTTTTACAAGGAAACGCTGTGAAAAATTAGTTCTTCATACTTTTATCTGACCTCCTTTTATTTAGATGTTAAAACCGGATATTCTAATAATAAAAACATAAAATCATTGGGGGAAAAAATCTGCTATTTTTGAAAGAAACTAGATTTTTAGATCTGATGAATGCTCTGTAGTAACGATAACAAAAAAAAACCCTGCTTCATTACTCATTATTGCTATCTTACTACTTTGGGACGATGTATAACATACTTAGATCAACGATAGGTGTTTAACCAGCTGCCAGGATCAATGTCAGGATATCTAGAGTGAGATAAATATATAAACCAGTTATCTTAAGAGTCAGAGCTTCGGTTTCTTCACATAGGGAGACAACTGCTCCTCACATCCCAGCAGGTTTAAGGTCTTTTACTCTGATTTTGAACCAACCAACCAAAGATCTTATTTAGCGATAACACACTAATGTCATTACCCCAGTAAGATGAGCTCAAGATGTAATCTCTAGATTCTGACCTCAACAAGTTCTTAAAACTACAAAATATTGTGATTTGATGATGAAAACCTGATTATGCTGTTATGACATAATAGGTCAATATTAGCAGAGTGAAGATCTTTGAAAGAATAGGACTGTAAACTATTAAAGAGCTAAAGGCAAGCGGTCCTGTCCTGGGTTGGCTCATTCCTGGGCGGTTTCATCCATCCTGTTAACTTTTTAAGAAGGTTTAGTTCAATAGATTTATTCTTTAATCTTACTCAATAAATCACTGTTACTCTCTTGAACTGAATTTTCAGACAGCTTTAGGTTGAGTTACTAAATAAAGTTTCATCTTCTCCTTCTTCATGCTCCTCTTGTTGTCCGGAAGCTGTAAAAATTGTGTTTTAAACATTTACAGACTTACAGGTGGTTCTTTAATTTCCACTGATGGAGGAATGATGTTTTTTTCTTCTGTTGTCTTTTATCCTACTTCGTGTTGTTAGACCAGTTCTATAGGTGGTCAGAAAGGAATCAGATCTGGGTTTGGCTAGAGAGATTTAACTAAGAATGTTGTTAAAAACAATCAGCCAATGTTTTAATGGGTCACATAAGGTCAGGATGGTTGGTAGAGCCTTTTTCTAATAATAGAAGAAATCACTGAGACACAATTTTAATCAGAGATGTTTTAGTTTGATATTAAAGCTCCTTTGATGATTTATATGTGGCAAAGAAAGCAAATAAAAGGTAAATCTTTAAGACTGTAAATACTTTTGTTTCCTGTACTGCAAAGAAGTACAAATGAGTTCAAATGAGCTCCTTTGTAGCTCAGTCTGGCCTGTTGAGAGACGCCTCGTCAGCTCAGACAGCGGCTAACATGGCGAGCGTCAGGTCGGGTCATCTCTCCACTTTCCTTGGTGGCCCTAAGGCCGGATTTGTAGAAACTGCCCACTGCAGGAAGCAGCTGGGCTTGTGTCCCGTTGGTTTTTGTTGGTTTCCTGGGAAAGAACTGGTCCGAATCAACCAGCGCCGGGCCAGAACTGGACAGCTCCGCTGTTGAGTGGAGGTTTTGTCCGCGTCTTATTTTCATGTTAAATTTCAATTTTGTGAAGGAGTGCATACGTGCATGAAAAGTTGGTGAGCGGCCGCCGCCGTTGCAGTGTGTGTGTGAGAGAATCGGGGGGCGAAGAGGCCGGACTAGAAGTTTCTGAGGCTTCCTGGCGGCCGTGACGGTCCAAATGTTTACTGGTTTTAAACCTTCAAGCTGTCAGTGTGTGAAACAGGGTGGAGAAAGTGTGTGTGTCCAGCTTTGATGTGTGCGTTGTTGTTGCCTAGTGTGTGAAAGTGGAAGGAGAGTGTCTGTTTTTTTTTGTGCGTGTGTTTGTGTGACAGCGGATGACGGATGGGCCGGCAGGACGGAGCAGGGGACGATGAATGAGGTGACAGACAGAGACGGATAGCCCTTTATCCCTCCGTCACAATCCCTCTTTCTCTCTCCTTCTCTTCTCTTTCTCCGCCTGTCGGGATGATGCAGTGCCTCTTGTTCTCTCGCTCGGAGGAGGAGAAGGAAGGGGCAAAGATGGGGAGAAGAAGAAAAGGAAAAATTGCATTCATCTGGCATCGATGTTTACTTCAAACCCCCTCCTCCTGCTCTCTCCTCCAGCCTCCATCTTCCTTCATCCACATCCTTCCCCCTCCTCTTGTCTTTCTTTTGCCGATCAGAGTTATTCAGCTCCTTGGCTCTTTCATTTCTTTTTCCGCCATTGTTTTTTCATGCCCTATTCTTATCATATCAAAAGATGCACATTCCTGCAACCCCCATACGTGCTTTCACACCTAACCTCAGCACATCTGCCAGAGCACATCTTCGCACGCCATCCGCTTTTTGTCGCAAGGGAATTTTTCATGTTTTTTTTACGTGACTTTCAATCATGCCCAGGAGTCTGTGACAATCTGTAAATGTTGGTGAATGGTCGATAAATCAAGCTGACGGGACCGTTTTGTTGCGTGCTCAGGTCCCGGTGTTCTGAGAGGTTCTGGGGTCCTGGGACAGGGCTGAGGCTAAACTTTTGTCTTTGGTGCTTTCATCTGCTTTTCTGTTGATTTCCATCTTCTTTTAGATGGCATTTAAAATCTGTGTCTTAAAAAGGTCAATTTTTAAGACTTTTGCTCTATCTTTAGATTTTAATGGTCATTGTTATGTGGATTTTATCTGAAAGAACATAAAGCTTCTTTTAAATAAAAGAAAATCCTGTTAATAGTGAATAATGGTCTCTTCTTTAATTCTGGTACAATTAAATCAATTCCAGTGTACGTTTGATCAAATTACCGGGGGATCTATCTAATTTGGCTTTTGTTTAATTTGAAAAATTCCTCCTTCTTTAAATTGTATTCCTCCTCGATCAATAAGATCTCGTAGATCCAGTCGTAGTGCATCCTGAACTCTCTGACCAGACAAGAGGAGCAGTGATTGGAGAAACAGATCAGAAGCCACGATCTGTAGGAGCTGCAAGGAAAATGTGCAGCTTTGAAGAGAGAATCTATCCAGAGGACAAAGTCGCTCAGTCTGAATACGAATCAGCCGCGATGCAGGCGCCATGGAAAAAGTCACTCATACTCTGAATGTTGTGACCAGCCCTGCCCAGCTACGTCTCCGGCTGCAGAAACGGCGCGCTCAAGAAAATAGGTTTGTGTGGGTTCACACACTTTTAGGGAGTTTTAGGGCCAAACCGCTTATTAGTGCACATTAATACCCAGTGTGATGTGAGTGTACATATCAGAACATAAAATCAATACTCATTGATTTTAAATGCAATTTTAGATTCCTTAGGTGCTCACAGTGCAGCTGAACTCCCTTCAGTGTGGACTCTGATAGGATGTAAAGAGTTTCTAAGAAGGCTGCTTCTATTTTGTGTTTAAAAAAATGTTGGATTCAGACTATAAATGGAAGACGTCATTCATATCCGAAGGGGTGAAATTATTGTTTTTTTGGACTTCTAGCAAAGCCCTTTTGGTCTTTGTAGACGGAGGCGGCATCTAGATGCTGTGGGAAGCTGATTAGAATCGATGGGGAGAACATCAATGTTCAAAGAAAAGCAGTTTGAGACTGCAAAAGTATTAAGACTGAAAAATTTAGCAAGCAACCCTAAAAAAATAAAGTTTGAGGTGCTTTATTTAAATAAAGAGGCAAACTGTTCAGCCTGTAGATGTTGCAGAGATAGAGAGATACTCCAAAACAGCCGCATCAAAATGCATCAATAGGATTAAAATAAGTTCTCACCCTAATCTGCAGCTGTAAACTTTCTCATGTCTTCAACTGTTTGATCTCAGGATGACAGGAATGCATTCAGGTGCTTCAGACAGCAGAAGCAGCTCCATATCATGATACCCCCTCTTCTGTGCTTTAATACTACTGATGCTGTAAATAATCATTTTTCTTACCAAACTAACATCAGAGGCTTTCACCTGTTTTGTTTCCACATGTCAAACACTTTTCATCACATAATGGCATTTGGAAGATTCTGATAAAGCGTCATTGCTCATTTATGCTTTGAATCTACTCATATTAAATACCTAAATAGTACAATTTATTATTAAAGTGACCAATATTTTATTGTTTTTTTTCCCCCCAAATTTGGTTAAACATCATCTCTCACCGTCTTCAACAAAACCATGAAAAGATCAGAGACATTTTATCAGTAAGCTGTGGTTATACTAACTCTGGTTAATTTAAGCTTTGGCTGGGGGTGTTTTTATCCCCCATACTTTTGTACTTTTTAAGTAAATATTTCAAATATTTCCAAAAGAAATAATAAGAATATAAATGTAACTTT